ATTGCAAAGAATAATGAAATATAAATTTTTATACGTTATATGTTGTGAATATTTTGGAAAAAAAAAATTATTTAAGTGGAACATAGGGGTTTTTTGTTTTTCATTGTAGACTTTGGATAAAATATGTTTACAAGGACAAGAAGAGATGAAAAGAATATCTAATGTGTCGAATGACCAATAATGATATTAATAACAGTAATAATTATAAATGCAAATATAAGCAGACTTTGTATATTCAGATAAATATAAAATAAAGTGAAATAGACGTGAAAAGTTTCAAAGGTTTTACTTTGCTTTTCAGTCAGTTAGATAGATGACGGACCATTTTTGTATAAATCGTTGTTAAGCACGTTAATATTCAAAAGGTGACACAATCCACTTTCGGAAAGAAAGTCATCAAGAAGACTTCGGAACCGGATTATAGTTTCACTGCATCGGAGGTTCATTGGTAGTCTATTCCAGATGGTTGAGTAGCGAATAACGAAAAAATTCTGGCGTAAATTTGTTTGGGTTTTTGGAATCGCTATAATATTTTCCTTATTGCGTAGATTGTGGGACGGTATCATAGAGTATGATGGGGTAGATAGCGAAGAGTAAGAAATACCGTTAAGAAGCCGGTAGAGAAAAATAAGGTTTAATTTGATACGCCTGATCCAGAGAGGTTCTAGTTTGAGTTGTTGACATCTTTGGTGATAGTCTTTGTTGTCAGAATACCCCAAAACAGCTTTGGTGAACCTTCTTTGAACACCTTCAATTTTAATCAGGTCATTATGCCTGCAGTTACTGTAAACTAAGATACCATATTCAAGAATTGGTAAGATACATTTTCTGTATAATAATAATCTCGATTCGGTATTATTGAAATTAATCATTATGAATCCGATGAGCGGCATAGCCATCATGAAATCTGCACATGAAACAACCAGTTTGACTTACGAATAGTATTGGAACAACAGCGTAATCATTTGTCGAACACAAAAGTAAGTAGCATGTACAAAACTAACCTACAAGATGAGGAATAATTTACTTATCCAACGACACCAACAGTCTGGACAAAGTACTCAAAAACCATTCAAAGGTGAGTGACTTCCGAAAATGCGGTAGTCAAGGGCTTGTAAGATCAGTTTCTGTGTTGATGCACTTTCTTTTCTAACAATCAGCCTTGCTTGCTATAACTTCGACATGCCTTCCATCATCTGAACCCATTCATCCTGTTAAATATCACAATTCATTGTTCTTTATTTCTGAATTTCTTTATCTAGAGTCTCTAACCACATCTCAATCTAGCAACAGCAGCTAGTATGAGTTTTGTCTTCTAGTCCATCACACCCTTGTCTGTCGCACTACAAAATCTTAAGCATTGTTTAGATTTTATGTCCTACGAATTGTTGCTCTTGTGCTTTTTACAGCATCACGCTTTTAACGCACAGTTATGGAGCCTCTTTGCCTAGAACGAACCTGAAACCAACTTACTGAACGCGTTTCTCAAAGCCATAGTACATACCATTCGCCTCATATGTTTACTTCACAAAAACTATAGACTTTTTGAAAAGTCGTATGGCATGAATGCTTAGCAGGACTGGAAATCTAACACAATAATTCTGAGTTTGGACTTGATTTGCGAAATGGTGGTCGCAACGGGGACGTCATGCCGTTTTTGAAAAAGACTATAAAACCGGAACTCCCAGTGAAATACACAAACCTAGACATTAACTACCTGCGCCATCTGCACCAACTTACTATCCTTTATTTTTATTGATATCATCTATTTGTCAACCTCACTTGGGAAGAATCTTGTATGCGAACCAATGTAAATTACAAAGCATCCCTGTAAAAATGACGTGTGCTTGCCTTGTCAGAAGTAGTTTACTATATTATATTATACTCACTCATCATGTGAAATTCAGTGATAACCTCTCTAGGCCTTTTCAAGTACACACTTGTGCTGGGGATGGAATTATGTATTTACATAAAGGGAAGAAGTTACAGAGAGTGACCGTAACTGCATGACCGAGCCACGCCATACCAATTAAACGTTCCCTCATTCACCATAACTGATCTGAAAGTGTTAAATGCTGGACATAGAACCTCTCAGTTATCATATGTTTGGCTTCCGAGATTGTGTGGTTGAAAACCAAACTACTACATGGTCATAAATAAATTAATATATTTGTAATACCCCAATGAGTAGAAAAATTAGATTTTCTGACGTTTCGTGACTTAGTGTAAGCCACTTCTTCAAAGAATAAATAACCAAATTAACATTAATCCAAGTTTAAATAGTACAACGGAACAATCCAAGAATATTAGGTGATCAATCAAAAAACAGGTCTGAATAGATCAATGTCATGTCATTTCATTTCGTTCAAAGTGATTCATAAGGGATATGTATGTAATTTTGTGTGTATGTATGCATTGTTAATGACGAAAAATGTGTGACCTTTGTAATGACAAAGGATAGAGTTTAATTTGTAATCTAATGGTGTGAGATTGTAAATAATATTAGACTGGTTGACTAGGATAGATAGTCCAAGTGGGATGTATGGTAAGGCCTTCTTTTCTATTGAGGGCAGTGGGATTAAGCATTATATGGAAAGCTTCCGCTACTCTTCTTTCTTTGTGATTGGAAAAATCTTTCTGTAGTATTTTGATGTTTTTGAAATCAATTTGATGATTATTGAGAATGGCATGAACCGCTAATGCCGATTTAATTTGAAGTCTATCTAGTTCTACAGGATTATTAGGAGGTTTCTTTGTGTACCTAATATGTTCTTTGGTGCGAGTCATCATTTCGCGAGATGACTCTCCAATACAGAAGGCATCACAGTCGACACAACCTAATTTGTAGACGCAGTTCTGTGTAAACATGAATGGTATCTTTTCTTTTAGTCGAACTAAAGTATTTAAAAGAGTGTTCGTTGTTTTGTAATATACTTCAATTCTGTGTTGTTTCAATAATCATCAAATTGATTTCAAGGAATTGCACTTATGCTGTCCAAACAAGCACAAAATACACTTGTAGGATTGGAGTCTCATGGACCAGTGATCATCAAAGTATCCTTCAAAACAAAGAGGGAGGGCATTACAATGAACGTCATCAAATGCTATGCGCCTAATAACGATCACAATGAAGACGTTAAAGATCAATTCTATTATAGGCTGCAGTCAATTTTCGAGAAGTGTCCAACAAAGGACTTGACTATTCTGGTGGGAGATTTAGATACCAAGATTCGAATGAACAACATCGGATATGAAGGCACCATGAGATGACATGGAGAAAAGAGCAAAAATGGTGAGAGATTTCCAAATCTATGTGCCGTCAACAAAATGTTCATAAGTGGTACTATGTCCCCACACAAACGCATACACAAAGCCACATGGACTTCGCCGGATCACACTACACAGAATCAAATCGACCATATCTGCATCAACGAAAAGTTCAGGAGGACGATGGAGAATGTGAGAACCAGGAGACGAGCCAGTATAGCATCAGATCAACAATTGTCGGTCGCCAAGATGAAATTGAAACTTAAGAAGCACTGGAAAACGGGGCAGACATCACAAAAGTTTAATACGGCTTTTCTCCGAGATACTGACAAACTCAACAAATTCAAGATAGCCGTGAACAACAATTCCAGGCCTTTCATGATCTACTGAATGAAGCGGGAACTACTATGGAGAGCAGCTGTAAAGGGTTTCTGGAAGGGAGTTTCTTGGCCATCAGAAACGCCATCACAAGGAATGAATATGTTGAATACTTAGCAACGACGGCGGAAAAGGCTGCAAGAGAACGAAAAAAGGGACAATTGTATGGTACAACAGAGAAGCCCGATGAAAATTATCGTAAGCCCGAACGACCAATGTAAAGCAAGAAAGGCAAGGTAATCAACAACATTGAAGAACTACGAAACGGGTGGGTAGAACACTTCAAGGAACTCTTGAATCGACCAGCTCCACTGAACTCACCGAACATCGAAGCAGCACTCACGGACCTCCCAATTGATGTTGTCTCACCAACAATTGAAGAGATCAACATAGCCATCAGACAAATCAAGAGTGGCAAATCATCTGGACCAGTCAACATTCCAGCAGAAGCTCTGAAAGCAGACGTAGAAGTAACTGCAAAGATACTCCACATTCTCTTCAGTAAGATTTGGGATGAAGAACAAGTACCAATAGACTGGAAAAAAGGACTTTTGATCAAGATACCAAAGAAAGGCGATCTTAGCAAGTGCGACAACTACAGTGGCATCACTCTACTCTCAATACCAGGAAAAGTCGGCAGGGTATCGTTAGACAGAATGAAGAACTTCGTAGACACCCAACTTCGAGATCAAGAGGCTGGATTCCATGGTGGATTAAACTGCCAAATCGCTCTTGGAGGACAGCTCCCTGACTCGTCCGAAGTAAAGACCGGTGTCAGGCAAGGATGCTAACACTCACCCTATCTCTTTCTCCCGGTGACCGACTAGATCATAAAGACGTCAATATCTGGAGGGAAGCACAGGATACAATGAACAGCAAGGCTGAAGCTGGACGATTTGGACCTCGCAAATGATCTGGCTCTTCTATCGCACACGCAACAACAAATATATGATGGCACGACCAGTGTAGCAGTAGCCTCATCAGCAAACGGAATAGCAAGATTCTCCGATACAACACAACATGAACCAATCGAATCACACCTGACGGGAAAGCTTTGAAGGATGTGGAAACTTTTATATATCTGGGTAGCATCATTGGTGAACACGGTGGATCAGATCCAGATGTGAATGTGTGGTCGGCAAAGCAAGAGCAGCTTATTTACAACTGAAGAACATCTGGAACTCAAAACAATTGTCAACCAACACCAAGATTAGAATTTTCAATACAAATGTCAAGACAGTTCTACTGTATGAGGGCGGAAACCTTAAGAACTACGAAAGCCATCATCCAGAAGATACAGGTGTTTATTGACAGTTGTCTACGCAAGATACTTAGAATTCGTTGATCAGAAACTATCAGCAACAACCTACTGTGGAAGATAACAAACCAGATTTCAGCGGAAGACGGAATCAGGAAGAAGCGCTGAAATTGGATAAGACACACATTGAGGAAAGCAGTCAACTACCTCACAATGCAAGCCCTCGCTTGGAATCCTGAAGGCCAAGGGAGGAGAGGAAGACCGAAGAACACATTGCGCCAAGAAAAAGAAACAGATATGGGAAGAATGAACAACAGCTGGAAAGGACTAGAATGGAAGGCCCAGGACAGAGTGAGTTGGAGAATGCTAGTCGGCGGCCTATGTTCCATTTGGGGTAACAGGCGTAAGTAAGTAAGTATGGAATGCTATAGTAGGGTTCCCCCAGTGTTCGGTACTAGGATCCCTTTTCTGGATTTATGTAGACGATCTTCCACAGCAGATATCTTCAGACTTATTACTTTTTGCTAATGATGTGAAGCTTTGAATAAAAAAACGCAACCAAAAGGATATACTGGCACTTCAGGAGGATCTGACCCGACTTCAAACCTGACATATTCTCAAGAACTATGGGTAGTATCTTACTGTGATTTTTCTTTTTTTTTCTTTTTCCTCTGTTATCGATAATATGCTTAGGTTCCTTCCTAGAGGTATCAGTGATCCACTGCTATTAGATGCGGAAGTTCGTTAAGCGAAAATTTCTATTACCAGTGGTTTGTCCTTCAGATATTTCACCGCCTCACGTAAACATTTTATCGTCATACAAGGTCACTTGTGATTTCTTGTCATTAGTCATTCTTGTTATTACATCAGCATTTTTCTTAATCTCGACTTATAATCCTAAAAACATCGTTTATGAAATTTTTTCATATAAATTTCGTAAGATGATTCACTCATGAAACCCAAACAAATCAGAAAAGGGGAATAAAATCGAACACGGAAAAGACATATTCCTTAATATAATGCGGGAAAATGGGACGAAAATGACCCCGAAAGTTTCGTTTTTCATCGGCAGCGGGAAACTAGAACGATATTTACCCTTCTAGTCTCTGATATCACAACGAATTGTCTACTTCTCACCAGAATGTACGCAGAATTATTTGCCTCTGATCTGTGTGATGAATTAAGTCATAATATCACAAATCTGTTCTGCCCCAAAATAAGCGAATAAAAAGAGAAGTAAATGAAAACCTTGTAGGAACGCTAGGGAACTTCCTTAAGTAAATCGGTGTGAATACAGACTACAATCCACTAAGTTTCCGTCGTTTTCTTCAGTCTTGGGCATGTGCGAATTTTCCCCCAAGTTTCGCCATTATGAGTGAGTGTGCTGAGTTTGTTACCTTCCCCTGTTTTTTATCGCAAAACTAACAAAATTGTCTACTTTCTCCCAATATTAAAACATCAAATAGCCTTTCGCAAAAACAGTCAATAATCTGCTATTACTTCTACATCACTTTCCCCCTTATTTCTTTCTTTTTGGCTGCTTGGGATATGTTCTGATCTTATATTTTTTCATTGTCTTAAGGTAATGTCGTGAATTCAAATTCCTTTTCTCTTTGGCCTGAATAGAAAATGATCTGTAGCTTTTATAAAAAAGTATAAAATAGCTGATAAGAAATTCGATATTGGATTACTATCTCCTTTCTTTTGTTTACCTCAACTGTTTGTGCTGTTCAGGTTTACTCCCTTTCCTCTGCGATATCTCCCTGTGGAAACGTTTCTTTGTGATGCAACCTGAGCGTTTTACGAAATATTTCCAAATAACATATACTACAGTCTCCAGAGAATCTATATTGCATAGTAGTTTCACAACAAGTATTACTAAACGCTGCTTTTCCTGACTCAATGATTTTTTGTCAGCAAGACTCCTGTAAACATTGCCTTAGGAGTAATTTCGGGATTCTCCCTAAGTTGTGCAAGAATTTTGTGGATTTCTCAATGAAGTTAATTACATTTCCGCAGAATTTCTGAGAAAACAATGACAATCTTAAAATTCCTAACACATTTTGACGATTACATAACAGTATAAGCTTATTCCCGTGGAAAACCCTAGGTCAGTAGGCATTTCGATATTCTTAGTTCCATTTTCCCCAGAGTTACTTAAAGCATTTTGATGGGACTTACCCTAAATTGACAAAAGTGTCACCGAGACCGGAAATTTGAGAGCCACTATAGCCTAAACACTGGGCTCTTGAGTATACCTCTACTCATTTGATAACCATTATTATATTATCGACTCATAATCAGGTCTGCAGTTTTATCCACTCATATATACCACCTTCACATGTTCGAAATACTTTTCATAATTTAAAGTTATCCAGTCTTCAATAGCTAAGCGTTGAAAGGTTACTCCATTCAAATACATAGCCATTTAATGATATGAAATGATAGTTTTAGGGACAAGCTTGTGCATTTTAATTTCTCGAGTTTTATTTGAACACATAAATATTGGTACAAAGGGGCATCAAATACAAATGCGCTACACAAATCATCCGATTTGTGTGTGGGCCATGGTACTACTCGGATGCCCAAACAAAAACAAGTAGTTTTCTTAAGAAGACACACCCAGAGTCTTCGGTCTAAAGGTCTGATCTACAAGGCCGTAGGGCAACATCAGGAGATACAGTTCAATGGCAACCGATGACCAACAATTGGTTCATACGCCATTTGTTCCCTCAGGATCCTGGAGCTCATGTGGACTGTTGGTTTGAAGTCAGTGTTTTCCTACTCCCCTAGGCGGACCCTCCGTGTCCACCAACCCGGTTAAATCGCTGGACATTCGCTTTTCATCCTCTCAATTTCGTAAACAACACCCCTCCATGAGAAAGTAGTGAGTAGGACTTCCCTTGCAGTTTTTCGTATACATTGTTTCTGAGGTTCTCGTAATTAGCTTCATCGTTCTTGCGTTAATATTCACTTTAGCAGATATAATTTCCCTTATCTCTTATACTTACTTACGCCCGTTACCCCTTACAGAGGTGCACAGGCCGCCCACCAGCATTCTCCATCCAACTCTGCCCTGGGTAATCCTTTCTAGTTGTTTCTATTTGCTGTTAATCCTTTCGAGTTCTGCTTCCAATTCTCGGCGCACTGTGTTCTTTGATATTCCTCTTTTCCGTTTCTCTTCAAGATTTTAAGTTAGCGCTGGCTTCGTGATGCAGTTTGATGGTTTCCGCAGTGTACATCCAATCTACCTTCAGAGTCTTTTACTAATTTCTTCATTCGGAACCTGATTCGTTCTCTGTCACAGTAGGTTGTTGCTGATAGTATCCAGCCAACGGAAATTCAGTATCTCGGGTAGACAATTGTCTATAAATACTTGTACCCTTTTGATGATAGTTGTGGTAGTTCTCCAAGTTTCAGCTCCTTACAATAGAACTGTCTTAACGTTCGTGTTAAAGATCCTCACTTTGATATTGGTTGACAGTTGTTTTGAGATCCATATGTTCTTCAACTGTAGAAATGCTGTCCTTGTTCTGCCAATCCTTTCTTTTTCGTCCGCATTAAATCCTTGTTGATCAATGATGCTGTCCAGGTACGGGAAAGTTATCTCCCATATGGTTTAGATTTTTCCTTGTCCAATTTTCTGTCCTCTGTTCTGGCAATAAACTATGCTCTGACACTGATATCAGCTTTTGGTTTATTCATTCAAACAATTGATAGTCATTTTTACGCACTTATCAACATTGATTATTCGTGGTTGGCATTTATTGCTTTGTATTTTAACCAAGGTTCCCATATTTTATCAACTAAATACGTTCTTGTGAAGTATTACCTCATCATTACCACTTCACTACTCTTTTTCCCTAAACCATTTGTCATAGTTCTTCTTTATATTTATTGACTACAATTTATGTTTAAAAGTGTTTCCCATCCTCAGCAGATCAATAAGGAATAAAGATGAAGTGTTGCTGCGAAATAGCTTTCAATAGAAATCGCAATGCGTGTATTTGCAGTGATTAATGACTGCTGCTTAAATTACTGAAAATTTGTAGAGTTAAAGTTGCTTGTTAAACTTGTTTTCAGCATGCCCTCACATACCCTTCAGCAATACCAGTAAATGTCTTAAATTCAGTTTTGTAAGCAGACAAGTTGCAAAATTGGTGTTTTTCACTTTGCTCTACAGTGTGTACATTAGCAGTGAGAGGCTATGTTGTGACGTATGCTTTAAACGGTTACATCAGGTTTCCTACTAATGGACATTGTCGAGAAAATTTATAGTAACTTTAGACAGTACCAACAGACAAAAATCCACAACTAATGAGTTGAATTTCAAAGCTTTAGTTTTATGTCAGCCCTTTGCTCGGGTATTACATGCTTCATTCTCAGTTTTTAGTTTCCACTACAGTCGACCTTATTACTTCACTCCGTATGATTTAATCCTGTTAATTTATTTCCATTATTGATATATGAAGTGTGAATACTTAGGTCGATGCATATTTGGTTCAGGTCTTAGGCTTTTGAAGGATGAATGGTAGTGAACAGAGTTTTACCGGCAGTGGTTACAAAAAACACATTTTTTCGGAATTCCTAGTTTAACAATAAACTCACTCATACCATAGTCTGTCCAAATCTTCTTTGCTTATATAAGCACATTTGTCTCCTGCTTGTGCAGAGTTTTATTCTGAAATTCAATATTACCTCAGCTTATCGTAAGGTGCTATTAATAAAGACTATATTTTAATTGAATGCAGTTATTCACTTCATTAAATCAAGTTCTCTGTTTGTTTTAGGAGCCTTGTGTTTGCGAGATTCCTCATCCCAATTGGAGTTTAACAGTTCTAAGCCTTTTTAGGCATGAATAATCAATATAATTATCAAGCCGATGATCGAATTCGTCAGCAACAGGCTAAAGTTCAGGAAGTAAGATTTCTTTATATTTGTTTGCAAATTACTTTATTTCAGGTTGTTGGTATAATGAAAGACAATGTGAATCTCGTATTGGAAAGGGAAACTCGTTTAGCAGAAATTGACACTCGAGCTGGTACGTTAATCTATCCACTTTATGTCTTTTGCACATCTAATCTATTCCATATAGTTCTCTCGTTTTCATGAAAGGTTTTTGGATTTGTAAATTGCACTTTTGAGCAGACCTCATTTATTAAATCTCTTAAAGTATTTAGGAGATTGAAATAGATTAATATTCATATGATCATTAATTAACATTAATTTCCATACATAATTTATTTATTATCATCAATGTCAAACCACATAAATGTCAAAATAAGCTCCAAAGATGTAATATGTCTTTACTCTTCATTTGAAAACTAGTTAAATAAGTGTACAACGTTTATTTATTTATTTATTTACACACATAAATATGGGTACAAAGGGGCACCAAATACATATGCGCCACACAAACCATCCGATTAGTGTGTGGGCTATAATACTGCCCGGATGCCAAAACAAAAACAGGTGGTTTCCTTAGGGGCCACACCCGGAGCATCGTGAGGAGATGTAGTCCCATGGTAACCGGTGACCGACAACTGGTTCATACGCCATTTATTCCCTCAAGATCCTGGAGCAAATGTGGACTGTTAGTTTGGAATCAGGGTTTTCCAACTCCCCTAGACGGACCCTCAATGTCCACCAACCCGGTTAAATCGCTGGACATATGCTTTTCGTCCTCTCAATTTCGTAAACAACACTCGTCACGAGAAGGTAGTGAGTAGGACTTCCATGGCAGAGGCTATATACGCGTGGCCATGTGAAAGCATTTGGAGAGGGAGAGCGTACTCTCCCCACTCTCGGCCGTACCAGGGCGTTTGGACGCAAGTGTTCTAACTAAACGTATTTTAAATTTACGAGAGTTCGTGTTATTTATTTCTCTAATCTTTACGCTTCACTGTTGGAGTTTGAATTATCTTTCTAGCCAACCAGTCCGTGATAACCAACATAGAGCCTGACATCACCCACAAAATTTCCTAAAGAATTCGGTTGAATATCATCTTTGGAACACGTTTCAGCAGTAGCAAAAAGAGTGCATTAGACAAACTAAATACTTTCATTCATCCGGACACTGAAAAGGTATCAAAGATTACGAAATATCTAAGCTTAAGTCAGTGGTTATGGATAACTTCGGACACTCATTTTACTAAAATGACTTAATTGTTGCATGAAGCAAACAAAGAAGGCCGGATGATTTTTAAAATTTTGACAATCAAGGAATTAGTAACCAACTGATGTATTAACATACACTCATACCCTCAACGAGGGTTAAAATGATAAGCAACTAACACTCGAAGAACAACAAAAATAAGTCTTCAGGTTGAGGTAACACAATTACTGATAACGACCAATCATATCCTATGTTTACAGAATAATTTGTTAATCATCCATGATTAAACTCTCGTGTCTCACTTTTTAAAGCTTTTAATGACAATTTCGTCTGGAGAGGTAATGCAAGATAGAATCGACAAGCCAAGAATCCAGCATCATTGAAACAAACATAAATAATTTACTCATAAATATTCGTTTTTATGAGTTCACCTAAGTGAAAAGTAAGGTAGTAATTCAGTGATGATACTAGATGATTATCGTAGTATATTAAAAACAGTTAGATTTGGCTCACAATGGTATGTTCGCCGCGAGACCTAAATTTGTCGCGTAAGTTCGTCGACAGATAAAGTTGACGGATCTGAACGAGATAGATATCTGATACTTACTGAAATGATGTTAGTCAGTTGTGAAAGTCTCTTCTAAACTATACTGAATTATTGTAAATCTACCTCATTTATTTATTACCAAAATTTCCGTAAATCTAACAGAAAATAGTCGAACAAGTTTTAGAGTTACTGCTACCAATTTTCTTAACATGCTGCTTATTATCTTTTTCGTAAATCTTAGTCATGTACCTAGTCAACTGTTTTCTCACATTTGTTGTTTTTCACGTTCTACCGAATTCGGGATTGGAAAAGATTGGTTAAAATGAATATAACTTCATGGAATAGTATATAACCTTTTAAATAAAAATAGTTTTTAATACTGATATATGTCATCGCAATTTTATGTTGTAAAGACTGTCCTGCTGGTCGTTTACTTGTTTCATCCCGCGTCACATTTTGGAACTATTTACGACACCCAACATAGTTGTATTTCACCATCTCAACGCTACACCATCGTCCGTCGATCGCGAGGTTTTGTTAAATTTTGTCACTGAAAAGTATGCTAATGAAGTGCATGAAACATGTTTAGGCTCCTTGCTTGAACATTATTGACGAAGTAAAGTTTGTATACCTACCTTTTCGGACTATATTCTCAGTATTTAATCTTAATTGGGATTGATAATATTATTTCCACTTATTTACTATTCATCATGTCAATTTAATCCCGTTGCGTTAATTTGACATGGCAGCTTAGGTTGACCCACTTTTGAGCGTGGCTGTATGTCGAGATTAACTGACCTATTTATATGTTTGTTCAGTATGAAACTTTCAGCTTTATTTCCCTTTTGATTTATCCCTTTGTTTTAATTTCTCTTATTACGACCCAGCTATTTCGATTGCTTAGTATTCTTGGACACCAATTCACTCGACAAGTTCCCATATCAGAACACGGTTGAACAGGAAAGAATATATATATACCTAATAACAAGGGTAAATGGAAGTAAGAAGCACAATAAGAAAAAACGTTAGTATATTCATAGTTTTTACATAGGAAAATTCTAGAGTGTTTTCCAAGCACCGGCCAGCGCTGATTGGATAAGAATTATCCAATCAGCGTGCACCAACACAATCGTGCATGGAACATGCTTTAAGCCAATCTGTTTCCCACTAATACCTCTCCTTTGAGTAGATTCGTAGAATCTGGTGCTAGGGTACAACTGCGACCGACTGACTGGCCTGTCCTTTCGATTTGTCTATCGTTTAGGTAATAAGGAAGTTGTATCACTCTTTGCTTGCACAAAAACGGACCTGTCTGTTCCGGACGTTTTGATTTGAAAGGTGTCTAGCAGAGCGTCAATAGGTATCCTATGTCGAGTCTTTTTGCTGGCTATCGAAGTTGCTTTCAATCGGCTAGCATGACGTACCCAAGCTTGAACCTAAACAAATATCTTTAGCAAATTCTGTAATAAATTATGTTTAACTCTAGGGTTAATGATAATCTTATTTTAGGTTTGTCCTTCAATGGCCATTTCTAATAATATAACCGTTTGTCAGTGATTAGATCACATAGTTCAGATAATGTGTTTTTAATTTTATATATACATAGTAATGTCGCATTACATTCTTAGCCATAAAAACTAAATGTTGGTAATGAGAATTTGGTTAATGACTTACATATTTTTTTCTTTTTACAACGCTGTATTATATGTTAGTGATAGTAGTTATTGGCCGAATAAGCGTTCACAATGAGTCATTTCCACCCTCTGAGCCAGTAATACAATTTTTGTTGAAACACTAATAAAATCAATCAAGGTGATCTTCAGTAGTTCAGATTTATGTTTAATGTTTTTTGGAAGAACATAAAATAGCCTACAAGATAGTTGTTTGTATAGTTTTAAGCGATGTCTTTCTTAATATCATTCCATCTAAACCGCAGTTGCACGTATTTTCTGACCCGGTTATTGTTCTATATATTGTTCCTCATAAAAAAATTCATTTTATCACTGTCGGTTTATTATGTTGCCAATCCCTCCGTGGTATAAAAGTTTTTGTGCTTCAACTATGTTAAGTTTCTACAAACTAGGTTGTTATTTATCAACTTTAATTCCTGGTTGTATTTATTTATATTTATTTATTTGAACAAATAAATATTGGTACAAAGGGGCACCAAATACATATGCGCCACACAAATCATCCGATTTATGTGTGGGTTATAGTACTGCCCGGATGCCCAAACAAAACAGGTGGTTTCCTTAGGGAGCCACACCCAGAGTCTTCGGTCTAAAGGTCTGATCTACAAGGCCGTAGGGCGACATCTGGAGATGCAGTCCCATGGTAACCGGTGGCCAACGGTTGGTTCATACGTCGTTTATTCCCTCAGGATCCTGGAGCTCATGTGGACTATTGGTTTGGAATCAGGGTTTTCCGATCCCCCTAGACGGATCCTCTATGTTTACCAACCCGGTTAAATCGCTGGACATTCGCTTTTCATCCTCTCAATTTCGTAAACAACACCCCGCCGTGAGTAGGACTACCCTGACAATGTCTGTATACACGTGTCCATATGAGAGCATTTGGAGAGGGCGAACTGACTCTCCCTACCTTCGGCCGTACCAAGGCATTTGGTAGCAATAATGCCCAAATTTTCCTAGTAACACTTTATATTTCCCAGGTTTTGTTTTATATATTTCTTCTCATAGGGGATTTCCGGGGATTGTGGGATTTTCACAGTTTAAATCACGAGCTGATCTTAGCTAGACCACCACTGCAAATCTGGAATCTGTGTCGTGTAAGACAGTTATCCACCTCAGGCAATGTATAAGGGTTTTACATTATCATGATTTGATTGAAGTTCGAAATTAACAACATTGGATGTCGGTTCAGTGATCTAGAGGTTTAGCGTTTGCGGGCGAGACCGTATGTCCTGCGTTCGCTTTTTGGATACGAGGTCGTGGATCCACGTAGCTGGGGAGTCCCATACTAAGACGAAACGCCCGTTCAATGATTTCGATGGTGATCTAGCTAAGACCAGTCAGTTTTTGATCTAAATTACGTGAATAATCCATGTATGTTATTTTCACTGCTAGCCACGTAGCTTCAAGTTAAAAGTACGATGTCTTTTATGAACTTAAGTGCATGAACGACTTGTATTTCATTGAAATTGATATATCCCTTATACTTCCCTGTTATAATTTGGAGAACTAAAGTGATACTTAATAGAACAAAAGTAATTTCATTATTCAATTCCTATTTATACTAGGATATGTCGTTCATTAATATATACCTTGGAACACCTAATAAATAGCGCTGGCCCAAACAAATACAGATTTATCTGCTCAAATTTCACCAATACTATTTGTGTGAAGGAGAGTTTTATGACATTGCTACACATACCAGAATACGTGGAGCAAACCCCTGACCTTTGACTTGTTGATTAATCAATTATTTCTTTAGCCAATTGTTTCCCTATTCATTATATTTTTTAGTCATTTAGTCCTCTAGTACATGATCTGTCTCTATGATATTTGTTCACTTTAGTGTTAGGATAAATGAATATTGCTAGTTCAATTTGTCTTATAATACTTGAATGAAATTGGTGAGATATCGTTTTTTATATGTAAACTGTGTTGTATCTTATCGAAGATTGTATTCTGGTCACCTTCTGCACAGTAATTTAATAAATGTCGTATATTTTTCTTCGAAACATCTCATTCCTACATTGTTTTTTTTTTAACTGAACTCATATGTATTCACTTAGTTTTTTTTTCACGATTCTTTGTAGTTGGACATGTACTGTAGTTTTGTCTCTTGATTGTACTGTATGCTTAATTAGTATTCTTTTTTTAATACAAACTAATTTCCCTATGCTTGAAGGGATTAGTTTTAACTTTACACTTAATAATCGGCTGTTGATGTTCTTCCCATATATTATATCATTGTTTATTATTTATTTACATAGTCTGTTGACGTAGATTAACTGGAAAAGTTTGTAGATGTATTAAGCAGTGAAGTTTAAGCGAGTGCAAGAAAGAAACAAAACAGTAGTTGCACCTTATTCGTAACATTATCATTATATACATAACTCTCATTTTCTCTACTTCATACGCAATCAATTAGCAGGGGAAATGTTCACTTATTTGTCTCCTCAAGGCATGTTGCAGTTAGTCTCAAAACTTTGAATTTCAATGCATCTTTAACGGTATACTATTACTTAACCTTTTCCTCATATTGCTTAAAATTAAAAACTGGAACTGTGAGTATGAAAAGATTATGCAAAATCGAATTAAATTCTACGTATAAATATTGTTATTTTGAAATCCAGTAAATTAATTATTTCTTGATATAGCCTATGAATTGTGACTCGTGATCATATGATGAATATATTTTATACTCAAAAACGTATTCTGTACTCATTAAGTACCTACTACTTTATGAGAATCAGGAGTATTCTCTTGTTTTGCTGAAGACCCGTTGTCTATGGCGCTTCTACTCTTGACGGTAAATTACTCTTAAATGTAACTTATTTCTTCAAAAAGTTTGACAAATGCTATAGAAAAAAAACGAATACTCTCTGAACCTACTTTTAGCTACTTCATAAGTAGTTTATGAAAACTTTCTAATTATTTCCAAGTATTTTATTAAATTGGAAGTTGTTTAAATTTAAATTTCTCATTTTCTGAATCAATAGAATACATGGTTCTTCAAAGTTTCTGTACTTCCTACCAGTTGGTAATAAAGTTAATCTCTTAATTTGAAGTTCTTTTTTAAAATTTGCCTATACAATTTGATTAATGACCTTAAAAGTGTATTCAGAAATAAAATGATTGAGACCTATATTTTCTTTGTAAGCTTGTTCACTTTTAAGATATATTTCAAATTAATTTCCAGTTAATATTAAAGCCTGTACCTTTCACCAACTAGTAAAAAATGTCTAATGTCAATTGGTATAGTTTATTAATACTTTTTCTGTGTGTATGTAGATTTTAAAAGGTATTTTATGTAGACAGAATTATGTTGAACCTCTTATGGTAACTACAGTTTCCCATAAAGCGACATTTTTTCCTTTTAAGTTAAGCATATGTAACCCTTCCATTTGAATCTCGCAAAAAATATTTGTCGTATGTTCATTTCCATTTTAGTAAGCAATACATTTTGATCAAAATACTTGGAAATTACTTCAACCATTGTTTTTTTTTCGTAACAGTGTATCCAGTTTGTGTACAGATATCTAGTGGACAATTTGAAAATCATGGGTTAGTTCAGTATCATATTACTGTTCAACCTCAACGGATCACCTCCATATACGTAATTCATAAAAGAAATTAGCTGTGAACTAGTATCAACTCCTATGCTTATATCATAACTGGTTGTCGAAGTATATTAATCACTGATTCCTGTACGGTCATTAAACTAAATGCTCAATTTTAATGAGGGTTAATTATAATGTCCTTAAATATCTTCACTCTGAGAAGTCCCTTAGAGTTTTCAGCAATAATTTTCTAAGGAAAGTCAACAAAGATGATGCACAATTTAAGTTTGTAATTTTCAACTGATTGACTTTGAACGTCTTGTATCAGAAAGAAATTTACAGTGTAACGTTACTCTATTTGGTCGCTTCAATGTATTTTAGGATTGGTAAACTAAGCTTTGATCGGTGCTTGAAACAGTTTTGGCTAGTATCGAGAAGTCACTTCATGTCTCAACTGCGTTAAATTCCATGAACACTGTTATTTTTAGTTGTTAACGGTGCGGTTAAATAATCTGTTTGAAAATAGACGCTTTCTTGTGCGTACGTATGTTCGGAATCACTAACATTTACTCAACAGCAGTCATGTTATGGCAACTAAATTCTAGTATCCCATGGCACTTTTTAAATGACAACTTAGTTTAATTATTAGACCATTCACGCTATTATGTATTGATCAGTACTGCTTATCTCATTTATTCACGAAATAGCATAAAGCGTTCATCCAATATACAGAACTCTCATTTTAAAAATGTTTTTAGTTATTTGTAATATCCAAACTCATTTATTCGTCAGTATGAATTGTAGAGATTGTTAAATTTCATTGAAATTATGAGCGGATCAATATTAGGCCCTGGGCTCGAGTCCAGTGCGCGGTATTGTGGATGTGCACTACTGATAAGTCCCATACTAAGACTAAACAGCCATCCAGTGCTTCCAGGTTTTCAATGGTGGTCTCACATTAATCGGTTTATGATTTCATTCATTTATATTTTGTAAGTCGTGTTTTTTTAGCGTCACAGAACAGTTACTGAAAATCAAAGAGCTCTCTGTGTAATGACTCACTTCACTGAATGATGATATATTTGGCTAGTCAAACATCGGCCAGATGATAAGCAAACGCTATTGACCAAGTTTATATTCCCTTTCCTAAGGAGCGAAATACTCCACTGGTTGAAAATGTGACCTTTTTGTGAAGGGGGAAATATGTTTGTTTATGAATAAGTTTACATATATGCTCTACTCGGTTTAATCAATAAAGCTTTCTTCTAACTGGATGTCCTCTCACCCAAATAACCGGTTGAGGTTGTGTGCATGAAGTTTATGTATCAGCGTCATAATCGGATACCCCGTAACACAATAGTGACTTTCTCCAGGCTTAGGGTCGTATTATAATGCTTCTTACTGTCAAACTATTGAATTTCGATTCCATGCTTCCTGTTTATCTACCTCAAGGTGTTTGTAACCCTTTGATAAACCGAGCTAAGAACTTGAACAGGTGCATACCGATAAGTTTCTTAAATTTAGAAAACACAAACTTCTGGATCCTAATATAGTCAAATAACAATAATGCTTTCAAAATAAAAAATGAATATCTCAGTGTGAATGACAAAAATTAGTATTGCATTCAGAGTTCTAATTAAGAATAAAATAATTGTTTCGGTGTCATTAATGTCTGTGTCATGTATTTTTGCACTAAAAAACTTGATTCGTTATTTGGCTATAATAAATAAATTGCGTCGATAAGCCACTCTACCTGATAACTTATTTGTAAATTTCTTACTAAAAAGGATGTATCTTATCATAATCTTGTTCTTTGTAAAATACACCGATTTCTAGGTAAAATAATAATTATTTTGATTTGACTTCTGATTATTTTTTCAGATGAATTACAAGTTCAATCCAAACAGTTTCAGGCAGTTGCTGGTCGTGTACGAAGAAAATACTTTTGGCAAAATATGAAGGTAAGTTGATAGGGAGAAAAAAAACCAAAAGTTGTGTTAACCATAAGTTGTCTGCTGAAGCTTTCTAATTTTTTACCATTCTAATAGAATGTTCCAAACCGAAATGTATCATTAGATTATAAACATTTTCTATTTGTCTCGAAAAAAAGTAGTCAGTCAATCACAGCGTAGAACTCCGTACGTACGTACATCAGTTCGAGTTGCCATACCACATTAGCACGGAGATCCAGTTGTCGACTCAGATGCCATAATGGTAAAAGTAGTAAGAATATAAACAGTAATCGGAAAGATTAGAGTTTGAAGATGTTATTCAAGGAGTATAATCCAGTGAAATAAATTTGGGAAGAGAAGAAAGATAGAGACATGAAGAATTCAGAAGATTAGAATTCGGTAGAACACAAAGAGTGGATGCACTTTGGCCATTGCAAATGATTCTGAGCCATGTCATTCAAGGTCTCTAACCATCGATTGCTATCATCTCACGAATCCCAACCATGTAGTCTAAACCTACCAACATGGCTCAATCCACTTGTCAGTGATTTCATGAATTTGTGCCACGTTTTGGTCTGGCTGCCCCTAGCTTTCTTCCAACCTACTTCTACACCATAAAACATTGCACGTCGGGCAGTCGGTGGTTGGGCATACGTAACACGTGTCCCAGCCATCTCAACTGACGAAGTTTCGCTACTTCACCAATCGACTTGCCATCATTACCTAATACCCTTTTCCTAACAACCGCATTACTTACCCGGTGGTCCCAGTATATACGAGTAATGCTTCGAAGACACCTATGATCGAACAATAGTAGCCTACGAATATCCTCTACTCTTGCCGACCATGTTTCACTGCCATAAAGTAGGCGGAACGAACTGTTGTGCAGTAAATCCGTCCTTTGGTTGGTAGACAGATATCCCACCTACCCCATAAATGACGCAAGTTGGCGAAAGCTAGACGAGCCTTCTGTATCCGTGCTGAGATTTCGTCACACACCAGACCTCTGGGGCTGATGAGACTACCAAGATAAGTAAAGCGGTCAACACGCTCAACTACTTCACTCCCTATCATTAGTTCAGGTGTCGATGCAACCCAATCCTGAAGTAACATTTTGCACTTCGAGGAAGAATCGCATACCGAACACGCCTGCATTGTTGCTTATAGTGGTCAAAAGACTCTGCATTTTGTCAGCGTCTTCACCGAATAAAACTATGTCGTCGGCGTATTCTAAGTTAACAAGTGAGCCTCCTGGTAAAAGTTCAACTCCTGGAGATTTACATGATGAAAGTTTTATTTCTAAAAGCATGTCAACGACAAAGTTAAACAAGAATGTGGAGAGTGGACAATCCTGACGAACACCATTTGAGGTAATCAATTCTGATAACGGTTCGCCATAAGCTCTAACTCGACCAGTTGTACTCGAGTGGAGAGCCTTTATGAGGTTAATGTACTTCTTTGGTACTCCTTTCAGTGACATACACTGCCATAGAACCTCACGATCAACAAAGTCAAATGCCGTTTTAAGGTCGAGAAATACTACGATCGTGAGTCGTCTGAATGTGTGTCTATGTTCTAGGACACGACGTAGTGTGAATATCTGGTCTGTATATATGGCTGAGATCCAGTGTTTCTCCCTAACCTTATGGTTTACCGTAGTAGCAGATATCACTGCTGTTTCAACAGTTTTTTGGATGTCATTCCACGCTGCCTCGGGGTGGACACAACTTACATGGCTGCCTAACTGTGTTTTCTAGTTGTTCCTGAAATATATTTTTAGCTTGGCTATCATTAAGTAGGACCCTAAGAGGTTTCCTTGCAGTGTCTTTCCTACGTCCACTAAGACGCAGACAGATACGTGCTCGCACTAGAGCATGATCTGAATGTACACATGTGCTCCAGAATGAGCGACAGTCTTCTATCGAGCCCCTCCATCGGTGGCTGATAGCGATGTGATCTAGTTAGGTCCAACGTTGGGACGAATTCGAGGGTCGCCATGTCAAAAGATGTTTTTCCTTGTGCTTAAAGTTGGTATTTGCAAAAAACAGGCGGTTATCTGAGCATAGCTGCAACAGATGGTCGCCGTTATCTGTTCTTTTACCCACGACAACATAAGATCCACCTAGGTGTCTTTCCCTTTCGCTTAGTTTATGCGCTTAAGCATTAATGTCATCAGTTGCTATTGCTACATCAGTCCGCCTGACTTTTAGAAGCAGGTCAGAACACTTTCTGTAAAGCTCGTCTTTTACCTCATCTGAGCTGCAGTCAGTGGGAGAGTAGGCAGAGAAGACGAAGAAGCAACGACGAGTGTCCCTATCTTTCCGAGTCCTTACGATTCTGTTTAATCGGAAAGCGTACAATTGATTGTCTACTGGGATCCAGTCTTAGAGAGCTAGTTCTGCCCTAGAACTCAATGCTGTACCTGCGCCAGCGAGGCCACGGGAAGCAGCATCAGGGCTTCCAGATACACGAAGTGTGGATTGAGTTGGTTCCCTATTTTGATGTGGTGTGGTCAAATGAATGACGCTACTCGGATCCTGTATGCGCGTTTCGAAGACGCAGCACACATCTATGGTGTAAGATTCTAAAGTCCTAGTTAAGGAAGCCTGTTGTCCTATTTGGCACAATGTTCGGACGTTAAAAGTTCCTACATGTAGTTTAGAGTGTGCTTTCAGGAGACCAGGAATAACGTTTCGTGTACTCGGATCGTTTGCCCTAGCGGTGTGAGGTGATAAAAGAACGTGAGGAGGGTTATTCGTGAAGATAAGAGAGTTATTAGGAGGTGTATGAAGGATTTAAATGTGACCAACTTGGTCTCGTGTGTTTTTACGGATATGAGAGCTAATATCACTTCCCGGCTGGCCACACCGTGTAAGGGTATTTCTTGAGGGACCTGAAAAGGAAGTTGAATTAATATTGGTCTTAACGACCTGGGAGCGTGACCGCAGAGTTCAAGGGACAACTGGTTGAGGCTGGTCACGCACGGCCTTTATGTGGGAGGTTTTTAACGTGTTAGCTCCGTTCTTCAAAGGGCTTTACCGCTGTATATGGAAATCCGTGAGGTAAAGTGAGGCGTGACAATTTTAGGGTTGACCTTTTCTAACCCCTTCCTTCCTTATGAGAGGGCAGCATCACTGCAGATGCTGGTTTTCCTAGGGAAACACTTGCTGCCACACCCCTCTACAGTCAGCAGTACGACTTCGCCCTCAGACCTTGAGTTGATGCTTTTAGTCATACCGTTCTTCTATCGACCTGCCTGACATGGTAGAACCTACAGGAACATATGTTCCAGCCAATATAGCTCGGTTGGGTCATCACGACAGGCATACCCGACCACCACGTCATGTAGCATCTACGGTCGGGCGAAAAAAGTATTAGATATTCTGGTTCCGTACTGTCTAACAAAAGTATTCTAGGCTACAGTTACTACACAATTAGATACTTCCATTGCCAGAAAAACGAGATTGTAAAAGTAAATATGATGCATCGACTGGGTAAGTGGATACAAAGAATTCGACTGGTAAGGTTATCAAACTCTGTTCCAAATAAGTATCGGATATTCGCCTTAATGTTCATGACAAGCTATGAGTGTTTAAACGTTTTATGGCCGCTGATTATCACAGATCTACTTTTTTAAAGGGTACGTCATTGCCTTATGCACAAGTGGTTTCATTAAAAGTCTGTAAAGGCTATCATTTTTTGGGAAGTAACCAATTCAGTTTTAACACCCGGCTATTATCTTAACCTTCACGTAATGTATAACATTTGGAAATAAGAAATTTAAATGACTCGCTTTTCAAATATATCCTTACGGACTTCAATAATTTTATTTTAAACATAATTTCTGTTATCACCTTATACATTTGCACGATTCTATGTGGATTTCGTTTATGCTCTTTCTCATCTTAATTTCAGTCTTTAGCTCTGTAGCCTGTATCTGTTGAATCTCCGATTCATCTAAAAAGTATACAATTAGTTTCTTTTTGAAGGTAGTATTTCATTGGTGTAATCGACGTTCTTATCCTTTAGTCATATGTATCGTTGAAACTTTTCACTGATTCCGAAAATACCTCGGAAATTTACTGATATCTTGAAACCCCCATAAAAAGTAAATCAGGTAAACTGATCACACACAACCACTTCACCCGCATTATTTCAAATCATGAGTCAAATTCTGTCGGGCTATTTAGTCTGACCATTCCTTCTCAGATTTTCGTCGATAGCATTGTGAAAACATCTCCAAATAAAGCAAACAGTAATGGTTTAGTTTTGCTAACAAAGCATGTAGATGACAATTTCTTGCTGTGCAATGTTTTGTAGCCCATATCAATCGTATTTTATTAGCTGACAGTAACTGTCTATGAATATAAAGTATACTCTGTTATATCAAAATGCTTCTAAATAGAAGGGATGAAGCTGTGTCTGTTCTTATTCTCAAGAATAAACTATGATAAATAGTTGTTAATGGATTGTTATTATGAGTTAATGCATTTGAGTAGCTGTATGGACAGGTAATGTAGCAGAAGGCTTTGGTCTACGTTTATCGAAAAAATGAGCAACTCATATCAACTTGATTCCTCCTTGATGTTGTTCCGAAGTCAGTTTGAACATAAATCATCGGGTACATAACACTGCCTTACAAGTAGATTCGCTCTGTGACTATGAAGCCTATTCTTTCTAGACTGAAAGTGTTCAAAAAATCTGTTCCCAATTATCAGTTTTTTTTAAGTAATAATCTTGATCAGTGACAAAATTTTTAGTAATCATGAAATTCACCAACTAGTTTTCGTCAAAAATAAATATCATTATTCTGTCGGCGATATCATCATGAAGTCATTTAATTCATGACGTTCTAGCGGCTTGAAGATCAACCAAATGCTCTGGTAGGGCCAATAGTGGGGAGAGTCAGTTTGCCCTCTCCAAATGCTCTCACATAGACACGTGTATACAGCTATTGTCTGGGAAGTCCTGCTCACGTCGGGTGTTGTTTACGAAATTGAGAGGACGAAAAGCGAATGTCCAGCGATCTAACCGGTTCGGTAGACATGGAGGAGCCGTCTAGGGGAGTTGAAAAACCCTGATTTCAAACCAATATTCCACATGTGCTTTAGGATCCTGAGGGAATAAATGGCGTATGAACCAATCGTTGGTCACCGGTTACCATGGGATTGCATCTCCTGACGTTGCTCCACTGCCTTTTGGATCAGACCTTTAGACCGAAGACTCTGGATGTGGCTCCCTAAGGAAACTACCCGAGTAGTATCATGGCCCACACATAAATCGGATGATTTGTGTGGCGCATATGTATTTGGTGCCCCTTCAAATGAATAAATTAGTCTGATGATTCTGGGAATGGAGTGAAGAGACGAGCATACGGCAAGTCTATCAATACAGTATCGTAAAATGAAGGTTAGATGTATTTGTTTTAAAATCTGTTGTATTTTCGTAACTAATTGGTCAGAGTTGTGGAGATCATGCTACTCAGTCGTTTGAGATATTATCAAATACAACCGAGAATCATCAGTGGTTATCATGTTGAAGTTGCTTTTGTGTTTTAAAAAAAGTGTAAGGACTACTTTTTTATGGAAAGAAATCAATCTCAATTGCCTACGCACATAGATTGTAGTCTTTTTGTTCCTTTAAATCACTTTATCATCTCTTTCATTTGTCCTTAAATCTGCAACTTCTTTTTTGTTTTAAGCACACTTTAATAATATTATAATTTTGATATTTCATGAGTATCATAAGTAAAGTAACCAAGGACTGACTTAATAATTTCAAATAAACTGAGAATTTAGTACAATATTAGTAATCAAATAATAGTGTATTTGTAATATCTCAATGAGTACAAATTTAGATTTCTGACGTTTCACAACTGTTTAAGTAGCTTCTGCAGAGTATATTTAAATTAGCTTGCAAAACATCAGTTATTCTAGTTTCTACTCATTAGAACATCACAAATCAATTCTTATTCGATTATTGTATAGGTGTTATTTGGTAAATTTTTGAGCCATGATTTCAATTCGGAAATTGCTGCGTCACTAACACCTCAGTCAGTTTATACTTATGTTTGATTTGTCTGTTTCAGATAGGGTTTTTATGTGATTTTTAAACAAGCAATTAACGCATTATTTCAGACTGAAACTTTTTCATCAGATAAAAAGGCTGATTAGTTAATTCGATAAATATATCGTTTGACTGTCTTACTTAAGGGTTCTTGTGGAAATATAAAGCTACTGATTACTAGATCACAGCAAATACACACCTCTGTCCTTGGTTCTATTTTACCATAGTGTCATGAACTTACATGTCACCTTATATTGATTTCAGTAATTACTTTTAAATTGTGAGTTCGAAAGCCTATATCATAGATTCTTTCAGACGAGAAATTATTATCCTTTAAGCAATGAGCAAACCTCTTAGTCTGTTACACGAACCCTTACGTGCTCACTGACTCACTAATTTTTAAATGTAAGCTTAAGTTACTGCATTTGTGAATAATATACGATTCTGTTTATTTAGTTATAAGTAACTATGTTGTACAGTTTGACATATTTCCTTCAACAAACCGATGTTTTGTACGTTTGCATTTCTTAGAGTTATCATTTTATTTTTGTTTTTGACGATTATTGATCATAAATATCGTCACTGAACCAATAAACAGAGAGCGTTACAGTGTAAAATTTTGCAGTGATTGGTTTATTATGTAGAATGTTTTAATTGATTTATGTTTGTCTATAAGTTGCGTATGTATCTGCTATTCTAATTTACTTTTCATGTCAGTATGCTTAAATAGCTTATTTAGGCGCCAGATTCATAGCTTTTTCCTAATTTAGTAAAAGCAGACCGTACATGTTGATTGAATCATGTTAAACTGTAAAATGTCTAGTTACATAGAAACGTGGTTATTTCTGTTTGTGGATAAAAATTTGTTAAACTGTTTGGTTTTTAGGTTTATGTGGTGTAAACTAATGTTTTCTTCATATGTATTAAAATGCTCTCTTCACTGAAAATAATTTTCTGCTAGATTAGCCTCATAGGACATCTTAATGCGTAATAGAATCGTCTAAACTAATTTTATGAATTATGGTGGATTCTCCCCTACTGTGGAGATCTTAGTTTGTTGGAATCAATTTTAAGCATACTTTCTTTTCAACCGAACGGATTCGGTATTGAATAAAATGTTACTTTTCTATTTAAAAATAAAACATATACTTCAATAGAATGTTGTAACTCAATTAATTCTGTTTCTACTTAGTATTCCCTCACAAGTAATAATCAGTATATCATAATAACTTAAGCAATACAACAAATACGGCTAACAGAAAAATTGCTTAAGTGCAACTAAAATCACTTGTTTCGAATTCATCGGGCTCAGCAAAAATCATTCCAACGGTAAGTGTGCGTGACTGGTCAAGAGACGGCTTGATTTCTAAGGAATGAGACATATATATATATATATATATATATATATATATATATATATATATATATATATATGAGTAGGTATACTTCTTAATTCAGTTAGTCGGTTGTACCAGTTTGTTTCTTATCTCAGTATCAGACACTGCACATCACAACTTTCTTCTAGGTTGTAGATTTTAGCCAATTATATATAACCATAGAAATTGCTCCTTATCTAGTATCAGTTACAAAACTATTTTGTATGCTATAAAAAATATCTTGTCTCAAAAATTAACATCAATCGTAAGTTCTTCAACTAACAAGATGTTATCATATATTACAAGCTGTACGTAATTTCAAAAGTATTCACTGAAGCATTAAGAACTTGCTTATGATTCATAATTCCCTGCCACAGTACATACGTAATAATAAGAACGGATAACTTAGAAAATATGTGTAAATCCTATTTCTACTACTATTTTCATGCTCATGGATGGATAAACTGAAATGTAGATTATTATCAGAAGGGGTTTTGTGGATATTGTAGTAATTTTAATAGTTGAGATCATGAATCAATTGAAGCTAGACCACCATGGAAAACCTGGAAGCACTGGACGGCCGTTTCGTCCTATTGTGGGACTCCTCAGCAGTGCGCACCCACGATCCCGCCTCGTGAGATTCGAACCCAGGACCTACCAGTCTCGCATCATAGCGCTTAACCACTAGACCACTGAGCCGGCATCCGATGGTGTTAATGTCTAACTTCAACCAATCCACGATGTTGAGCACCACTAGTGTCTCCACTGGTTCTCCTATGGGGCGTGATTGAGCTGTACTGTTTGGGTTGTCACGTGAAAGTCTGGATGGTGTCTGGTTCTCCTGAAAACTAGTGCAAATTTACCGTGGCCCACAAGGGTATATTATATAACTGTGAAATGTGGCCACTTTTAGACCGTTTAAAAAATCTACTTTCATTTGCATTTCGCTAGAGAAAAATAATTATTTTTGCAATAGAAAATAAAACAGTGGTTAAAGTGTACGATCTTTAACACTGATGTTATTGTATAAATAAGTTCAAAAACCACCCTTCTAACATTATGTAAGAGAATTCCATTATTTAGAAACGAAAGACAGTACATTGCCTTACGAAATGTCGACTAGTCTTTAAAACCTCTCGAACTTGTGAAATTCACTATAATATGATTGAAAACGTAAAATTCTATTATCTAACCTGTTTTTAAATTTTCTTATTAGTCCTCTTGCACTGCAGTTTTGTACTTAAAAAATACAACTTCTATAGATATTTTGGTCAACAATGAAATTTTGCAAAAACATTTCCTGTTTTATTTTATTGTAGATGTGGTTTGTTATGGGAGGATTAGCTGTTGTAATTGTTGTGGTTATTATTGGTGAGTTAGATATGTGCCCCTTCAATAGGTCAATCAATTTTTGTGACTAGGTATGTAATATATCAATGTTATTTCAATGTGAGGATCTCAGACTTTCTAAATTGGAAAATAGGCTAATTTGAGGAACTCTACGAATGTCATAACTCAGCCTGTAGCCCTTTTAGGGCTACTGACGGTCCCGAACCCGAGTAAAAAAAAGGAAGGTTGGGCGTGGAGTCGGCAGCCCGACCCCGTAGAAAACAACCTTGTTAGAACAAACGCTAACCAGAATAAACAATTTAAACCACTTATACTCTGTCCTCCCAGTTGAACGAAGAATTATGACGCCTCATGATAAAAGCAGAGATTCTTCGGAAGTCACAAGGCTGATGCCCCTTCTAACAACCAGGACAACAGCCTTTGTAGGTACATGGAACGTCCGGACAATGTGGGAGACCGGGAGGATCAACTAAATAGCAACGGAAATGAAGATACATCTTGGCGCTCCTCGGAATAAGTGAAACATATTGGACCCAAGCTGGACAGCAATGACTAGATACGAGAGAGATGCTGCTGTACTCCGGTAACGCAGAGGAAAATGCTCCACACACTCACGGAGTTGCTCTGATGCTGTCAGAGAGGCACGAAATGCACTTGTAGGGTGGGAATCTCACGGGTCTAGAATAATCAAAGCATCATTCAAAACGAAGAAGGGAATCATAATGAATATTATCCAGTGTTATACACACTCCAATGATATCAACGACAACAATGAAGATCAGTTCTACAAAAAGCTGCAATCAATCATAGCGAAGTATCCAGGAAAGGATCTGACAATCCTGATGGGAAATCCAAAGGTCAAAGTTGGAATGGACAACACCAGATATGAAGAAAACATGGGACGACATGGACTAGGAAAGAGAAACGAAAATGGGGAGACATTTTCAAACCTATATGCATTCAACAAAATGGTTATAGGCGCACAATATTTCCACACAAAGCTACATGAACCTCGCCAGACCACACCACAGAGAACCAGATAGATCATATTTGCATGAACAAAAAATTCCGAAGGACAATGGAAGATGTGAGAACCAGGAGAGGAGCTGACATAGCTTCAAATCACCACCCGGTTCTAACCAAGATGAAACTGAAGCTAAAGAAACACTGGGCAACTGGAGAAACAGTATTACAAAGGTTCAATACAGCTCTCCTTCAACATACTGACAAACTCAACGAATTCAAGATAACTCTCAACAACAGGCTACAAGCCTTACAGGATCTGTTGAAAGAACAAGAAACTAAGATGGAGGACAACTGGACAGAGATCAAAGAAGCATTAACTTCAACGTGTCACGAGCTGCTGAACCGCAACAGGCATCATCATAAGGAATGGATCTCTATGAACACTGTGGACAAGATTCAAGAAAGGAAGAACGAGAAGACAGCAATTAACAACAGTCGAACAAGAATAGAGCACGTCAGGGTACAAGATGAATACACAGAAGCAAACAAGCAGGTGAAGAAGAGCATTAGAGCTGAAAAGAAGAAATACGTGGAAAACCTAACAACGACAGAGGAAATATGAAACAACCATATGACTCGAGGAAGAAACTGGCAGGGAGATATATTGAACCAGAGAGATCCGTCATGGGTAGAGAAGTAAAGACAATCACGGAGGTTCAGGAACAGAGGAAAAGATGGGTAGAATACTTCGGGGAACTGTTGAATGAACCGGCCCCGTTGAATCCACCGGACATCGAGGTAGCACACACAAACCTTCCTATAGCTGTCACTCCACCAACGACCGAAGAAGTCAGGATGACCATCAGACAAATTAACAACGGGAAAGCAACTGAACCCGACAACATACCGAGGTCTGACATATAAGTAACTGCAAACATGATTCACCTCTTATTCAAGAAGATTTTGGAGGAAGGACGAGTACCACCGACCGACTGGAAAGGATACCTCAACAAGATAACAAAGAAAAGATATCTGACCTGATGTAAGAATTACAGAGGCATCACACTTGCCAGAACCAGGAAAGGTTTTCAATAGAGTATTGTTAAACCGAATGTAAGACGCAATAGGCGCCCAACTTCGAGATCAACAGGCTGGATTCCGTAAAGATTGGTCGTGTACAGACGGAATCTCGACACTACGGATTATCGTTGTACAATCAATTGAACGGATCTCGTCACTACACATCAACCCGTTTAATTGTAAGAAAGCATTTGACAGTGTGGATAGGAGGACAATAAGAGAACTTCTTCGACACTACGGTGTACCTGAGAAGATCGTCAATGTCATACGGAATTCATACAACGGACTAGACTGCAAAGTCACGCACGGAGGACAGCTGACAGACTCATTCCGAATGAGGACTGCATTCAGACAAGGCTGCCTACTCTCCCTCTTTCTCCTTCCTCTGGTGGTTGACTGGATTATGAAAACCTCTACATCTCAGAGAAAGCATGGAATAAAATGGACAGGTCGGATGCAACCGGACGATTTGTACTTCGCAGATGACCTGGCCCTTTTATCCCATACACATCAGCAATGCAGGTCAAGACAAACAGTGTAGCAACAGCCTCTGCATCAGTAGGCCTCAACATACACATGGGAGGAAGGAAGAGCTTCAAATTTGACACAGAGAACACCAACATACAAATTAATAGTAATGTGACAGGTGTACTGGTGGTAATAAGAATGATAAAAACAGTTTGAATAGATAACAAAAAAAGTAAGTAAGAGCGGTTAAATACACATCAAAATAACAATCAGTGGAAATTACGTTGTAAGAAAAGAATATGTGAATAATCATTTTAAATTATATACATATATCCCTGTTTGAGTAAATGCCACTGGTGGATCAAAAATGACAAAGACTAGCTGCCTAGAGTGTGTGAATCACAACACAAAATTAATACTGACCTATCGTATATTAGCAGTGGTTATATACCAGGCGTACGTTAACAGTGCGATTGGGGTTTCTTTTTATTATTTTGCCTCGTTTTTCCGAAAACTTCGAATGTCTTGGTTGATCCTCTTACTAGTAATGCTTATATAGCCAGTCTTGGTATTATTCTTTGTTTACGATCCGGTATCTTAAGTTCTAGATTTTCAGATAATCAAATCTTGTCGATGATATCATTTACTTAAGCTGTGCAACCATATTCATAGCTGACTAACAAATAAAACAATCTGTTGGAAAATAGGAGGACGATTACATTATATCATGTGTAAAAGAAGGCTCCATAATGATCGCGAATTTGATAACAATAAACTGAAATGTGTGAAGATGATACAGCACTTGACGAGTATGAAAAATAATTAGAAACGTATGTAACCAACTCAGATTTAAATATTGTAATTCATCCACCCTATCGAGTATGATGTATATGTACACAGTCTTGTGAAGGGCATTGATATTACTATGCCGCACAAACTAGTGTAGCAGCAGCGCGTCCTCCGTTGTACTGTCAAAACCTATCACATAGTAGATGAACTTATTACGAAAAGCACAATGGCAAATGTGCGCACCATTTCACCAATACATCTGGGAACTGGACTGCTACATACTAGAGTCTGTATACACTGATTTTTTTTCATAGGGCTTTAGTTCATCGTTTATATTTTCCGTATCAATTATGATAAATACTTTGATCATTTTATAAAATTACTTAAACTTCATAAAAATAAATTATAACCAATATCTTAACTGGTAACTGTTATTCCGTTGATAAACTAATATTAAAAGTAATACACCTGGAAGAAAGCAAACATCCCAACAACTAAATATACATATTGTGTAAATTTATGATATATTGTCTCATTTGCTTCTGCCTTTCAGTTTGGTCCGTATCTAACAAGCATAGTTGAAGTAATACATCGCCAAACTGTCCGCGAACTGAATCTGGAACATGAGCTTTGATTATGATTGCTTTATTTATAAAAAAAATAACTTGTGATCTCAGAAACACTTTTTAGTCTTTGAAATGGGAGATAAATGCAAATTATTGATCTTCAAATTAAATTTTCTTTGTCTTCGTATGAAATTTCGACGCAGATGGACAAATTGATAGATTTAAACATTCTTTACAGTTTGGATTCACTGGGCGACAAATTTGTTGGCCAAAACCGACTAGTAACCAATTAATTTCATCCCAGTGTTCCCTAAAAGCAATTGTAATTAGATAATGAGCGTTTACGCTTGATCATAGAGTCAAATAATTTGAATTATAGCGCGAATTCCTGGTTTTCTGTATTACATTTCCATGTAAAGATCACTGGAGTTAATCATTTTGCCACATCTTCCTTTCATGGTTCATACAATAACAACAAAAACATATAAGTGCCAAGTCATTTAGAAAATTTATGTGATTACTCCAGCTCTGAGGCCTTTTACTCAAAAATAATGGGATACCTTGGAGAGATTTAAGCTTGCCAAAGGCTGCAACATCAGTTACTTTTGTCGTACATAACTGAAGAGGTCAGTACACTTTAGTTCCTGGACTAGTTCTTAACGTCTAAAATTTCACGAGACTAAAACAAAGATAAGTTATCTCCATGCATTCTAAATAACAAAAAACTCAGTTGTCGAGCGCTTGGTTTATGGTTATTTTTAACTCTTGATCAGTGTTATCAACCCTTCTAGGACCAATATTTTTTTGTCTATCATCTAATACTTAACAGCACAAAAGTTTTAACCATAAGGAAATCCCTGAAATAAAATGATTCCATTTGTCATGCAAAGATGCATCAAGTTGGACCTCTTAGGCAAAATACCATCGCAACCTCCGTCTAATGTTGTATTGCGGAGAGTGATTAAGGCAGCTAGCAGTGTGTGTGGTGAATATTTTTGGGTTACTATTAATATGGTTGCGGATAGACATCTAAAGTCTTGCTAACTCCTGGTAGGTGTTATCTTGTCAGATACTAACCACCCAATCCATTCATATTTTTCTCCTTGTAAATCTGGTAGAATGAGATGTCATTGCATTAGAATTCGTGCACGCAAGCAAAAGTATAAAACCTCTACAATACCTTATCTAGCAAATATACTATATGACGAACAGGTCGTTAGAGTTGACCTAGTCAATAACTTGTATTATTGAACATGCTTCTAGTTGAAGATGTTGTACAAATTTAGCTCTTAAAAAACATTTCATTTAATCACAGGTAGTTCACCTACTTAATTTTTGTGTATATATATGAAGTTATGTCTCTTCCAATTTTTAAAAAAAATCTTATTTAAATACCTTGTGTTGATAATCATGTATTGTACCGAAAAATATGGTATTGAATGAAGCCGTCAATAGTAAAACCATAATAGTTGTTAATCCAAAATGTGCTCGACTTATTTATTTTATAATGTTTCACCAAGCCATGTAGGGCTGGTAATACTAACCGCCTGCTAAAACGCGAAGTAGGTGCAGCAGGTGGGGCCCGCAGCTATTATTTTCCGTATCCACTTTGATGTGTAAAGAACTTTGGATACGCTCAACTGGTGTTTATATATTCACAAATAACAAAGCATATTAGTAAAATAATCAAATGCTCAAGTTTCGTTTTGACTTGATGCCTCCCTACTTTTAATCATCTATCTACTTGTCCAGATTAAAGCAAAGATAAAATTCTAACGAAAAAAATGACAGGTTAGCACGATACGGTTTCCCGGATACATAAATTACAACTCTAGATATTCCAATTACTACCTTGGAAACCATTCCTCAATAGCCAAACGAGTTTCTTCTGGAGTTTTGGTTGGTTTTTTGCACCATTTCAAACGATTGACGATTCGATGTACGTGTGTATCTACACCGATTCCAGTCACTTTTTTCCACGCACACTGCATTGCTAAATATGCCATTTTCGGACCGACACCTAGAGCGGTCAACAGAAAATGTAAACACAGTAACCAGGCAAGGTGCATAACTCCTCAACAGTCTCTGGTATGTCTGAGTTGTATTTTTCCTTCAAGATCTCGCACGTTTTCTTTATATTCAAAGCTTTTGTCTAGGAAAAGCTCTGGTGAACTTAGATGCTACCTTATAAAATCCCACTGGGTATATCAAATCCTGCAATTCTTCCGTCTTTATACTTGTCAATGTTGTAAGCGTGCACCCTCTCAACTTTAAGCGCTCCATTGCAGCTGACGTAACCTGATCTTTTGTCTGGCTTGACAACATAAGACTTATCAGCACCTGTAATCTGAATGTCTGCGATTTTAAAAATATTTAGTAAATGTAACCATACTTTAGGATGTTCTGTCTCATCAGCCAATCTTTCGCAACCCATTGAGTCTACTGGGGCGTCGCGACTTTCGCGCATTTTTCGAATATTGCTGAGTTGAACCCGCCAGTTAAGTGGTTCCCACTTACGTTTCATAGGCTCCGAGACACCGTCTTCAATATCGCCTACGCCAACTTGCTCTTGAGATCGGACTCTCTTCGTCATTCACCTTATGATGGGTTACCTGTAGTCACAAATAATACTCTCTTAATCGATAGTTAAATATGCATACTACCGAGTAAATGGAATTAAACAGCCACTAGTTTTAATAAAGGTTGATCAGATAAGATTATCCAATCAATGTTTTAAAATGGCACCGACAACATTTCAGTACATTCGTGAAATTATGAATACACATGTGCAACCACACAACGGTAGGCTGACGTTACGTACGAATTTAACTACAGTTTAGACATTATTTGTAGTTGTGATTTGTCAAAGTAGCTTTGTCACTAAGTGATGCACGACCAGCAAGTACTTTAGTGAAAGGTGTGTCATGACGTCTCGTATCGATACGAGACGATCGTTCATGATGTAGTAATTTACAGTACGTATAAGCTCGATAAGTAGCACTCACCGAGGCCGTAGCTACCAAGTGTTTTAAGGAATTGTGATTCAGCACATTGCGGAATCTTATACAAATGACTTGGACTCTATCTATCTAATGAATTTTCCATTATAATGAAATACCCGGGACGAGTACTTACTCGTGTTTTCGTTTTCTAAACAACTGGAATTATTTTAGTTACTTGGATAGACATGCATTCTTGATGGGTCATCAGTCGCCTATGTTAGGGTGTACTTTTTCGGTAAGACACTGAACAAGTATCTGTGGTTTCACTGGTCAATAAGCCAGAATATATTCCATATGGTTCCTGTTGAACAACTACATCCTGACAAAAAACTGGACTGAAACACAAACACAATGAACAAATATGATACTTGAAAAGTTTCTTTGGTCATAAATTGTCTCATACTGTTTCACATACAATTCAAGTTGGATAATACTGGAACACGACACTTAGTAGGGAAGCGTATCGTAGAGTTTCGAAAAGAGAATGTTGTTATGCAGATTTCATTCCTTGTTTGACTTTAATTCCAGTTACTGCTTACTATAAAACACAAATTAATTAGACCACTTCATAAATCTGTATCAACGTGAAACTGATAACAAACAACAACGAACGATGAGATTTATAAGTGTGATAAAGATCACCCAATTATTATGCTATTTATTTATTATTTATTTAAACACATATATATTGGTACAAAAGGGCACCAGGTACATATGCGCCACACAAAATAATGAAAGTAGGAAGAGAAGGGATGAAAAGATAAGGCGGACTAAAATGTACAACCAGAAGACTCTTTCAAATAGGAAAGTAAGAACCATACTTTATGTAGAAAGTAAAAGAAGGTTGCAGCAGGATCGCCACTGGTTTCTATTCTGAGCCATATCTGATAACGTCTCTAGCCACTGTGTTGCACCATCTCTCGGACCCCAACCAAGGAGTCGTGAAGGACCAACAGAAGCTAGCCATTTGCAGCTTTCTTTCATGCCACGACACCATGTCATACACTGACCTCCTCTCCGCTTTTTCCAACCAGTCCCAGGGTCGGCAAATAATGCACGACGTGGAAGTCTCTGGGACGACATTCGTAAAACATGTCCAAGCCACCGAAGTCGGTGTTTCAAGATGGTGACACCAATTGAATTATCGTCTCTGTGCCCGAACACACGATGCCGAACCTCTGCATTACTAACATGGTGTTGCCACTGGATGTCAGCAATCCTTCGGAGACAACGATGATCGAACACAGAGAGACTTCTAACATCCTCAACTCGGAGAGGCCAGGTTTCACAAGCATAGAGCAAAACTGCTCTCACCGACGCGTTGTAAATCCGACTTTTTACAGCCAGACTAACATCACGAAGGCGCCAAAGATGGCCCAGATTGGCATAAGCCGATCTGGCTTTCCTTATACGTGCATCAATCTCATCACTCACGCCACCACCAGCACTTATATAGCTACCTAGATACACGAACTTCTCAACTACTTCGATCTGCTCACCATCCAGGGTGAGTACAGGATTAGAATCCTGCCAGTCTTGTAGAAGTACTTTGCACTTCGAGGGTGCAAAGCACATGCCGTACCTGCGGACACTGATTGCCAACTGATTAAGTGCTGATTGCATGCCTTGGGCATTATCGCACAGTAAGACAATATCATCCGCATACTCAAGGTCGAGAAGTCGTTCTCCAGGCAACATATCCACACCGCCATTACTTACATCCATCAGAGCTGTTTCCAAGATGTCGTCGATGGCAAAGTTGAAGAGGAATGGTGAGATCGGGCAACCCTGCCTAACCCCACTGCTCGAATGGAACAAGGGAGAAAGGTGGTTGTATGCCCTCACTCTGCCTGAGGTGTTCGTGTACAGGGCCTTTAAGATGTTAATGAACTTCTCAGGCACACCCTTCTTCAATAGACAATCCCAGAGAACAGTCCTGTCCAACGAATCGAAGGCCGCCCTGATATCAAGAAACACTACGATTGTTGGCCTGCGATAAGTATAACGGTGTTCTAACATTTGGCGGAGGGTGAAGATGTGATCAATGCATCCTTGACCAGAACGAAAACCAGCCTGCTCCTCGCGAGTCAATCGTTCTCGGGTTTTAAACAACCTACGAAGAATGATAGAAGCCAATAGTTTGGACGCAATCGGAAGTAGACTTATCCCCCGATAGTTATTGCAGGAACAACGCGAACCCTTTTTAAAGATAGGGACGACTATTGACTCATTCCATGATGTTGGAACACTTTCTTGCTCCCAAACCTTTCCAAACAACACAGTCAATTCCTTAGTCAGAAAGTCGCCACCATCTTTAAAAAGAGCCGGAGGTAAGTCATCTGGGCCAGGTGATTTGTAGCGCTTCAAGAGTTGGAGTTCCTTGCGGACTTCCGCCTCGTTTGGTGGATCAGTCGTCACCGGCCATGGGGGGCAGGACAAGCTGGTTGATGTTGCCGGAGCAGCAGGCCAGTTGAACTGCCCTTCGAAAAATTCCGCCCATCGTCCAAGACGTCGGGAGATGTTAGTGATTGGCATCCCATCATCCTCGTAGATTGTTTCACTCACACCAGACTTCTTGCTGCCAGTGGCTCGGATGAGTTGGAAGAGCTTCCGGCAGTTACCAGATGCAGCTGCTGCTTCCATCTCATTAGCACGCTCCGACCACCAGGCTTCTCGATCCTTACGCAAGCTTTGCCCAATTTCATTACGTAACAGCCTTCGTTTGTGGTCAAACTCACGGTCACCCGGAGTAGACCGACGGGCTTCCATCAGTTGTAAGGAGCCAGAAGAAACCCAGTGCTTGTAAGCGGGACGTTTCGCGAAGCCGCAAGCGGCTTTACTCGCCATTTTCATGGCGTCGTGAAGATGCAACCAATGCTCATCTATACTTTTCGGTGGGATGGTAGCTAGCCTAGAGGCTAGCTCCGCTCGATACTTACTTGCAACAGATGTTGCAGCCAGTTTACTAATATCAATCCGTTGGTGGTGGTCAATCCTTCGGCCACTGAAAAGTAAGGTGAGATTGGCGCAGACCAGGGCATGATCAGACTCCAGATAGGTACTCCAAAAGGAGCGGCAGTCTTGTACACAACCACGCCAGCGGTAGCTGATCGCGATGTGATCAATCTGAGTCCAGGCTTGGGATGCAGAGGGAGGACGCCAGGTGGCACACCGGCGATGACTGTGCCGGAAGTTGGTGCTGGCCAGAAACAGGTTGTGGTCTGTGCACAGTTGCAGCAAACGGTCCCCGTTATCTGTCCTGCGACCAACAAATCCCCATCGGCCACCTAGACGACTCTCTTCTATGCCTAGACGCCCGACCTGAGCATTCAAGTCTCCGGCTAGTACTACAATATCTGTCGAACGCGCTTTCTGGAGAAGAACTGTTAACTGGTGGTAAAACTCATCCTTGATTGCATCCGGGCTGCAATCTGTCGGAGCATAGGCGGAGATGACGAAAAGACACCGTTTCTCACGCCGGTTTCTTCTCACTTTGATGGAACTTTCTAATCTAACAGCACATAACCGACTGTTAATGGGGATCCAATCGATTAGTGCTGCCTCAGCCCTAGCGCTTAGTGCGACGACAACGCCAGCAAGACCAGACGAAGATGCCACAGGGTCCCCGGATAAGCGCACGTGAAACAAGCTTTTCGAGGCGACAGATGGAGAGCGGATTTGTAGTACTTCACTAGGGTCTTGAATACGGGTCTCGGATAGACAACAAACGTCAACATTAAGACCTTTCAAAGACATAGCCAGCCCTATGTGTTGTCTGATCTGCATTAGTGTGCGAACGTTGAAGGAAGCCAGCTTGAACGGCGTACGTGGTTTCAGAAAGACTGCTTCAGTATTCATTATCGGTGGAAGCATTCACTTTCAACCAGACAGTGACTGGAGATCGTTTAGATAGGACAGATTTTCCACCAAGAGCGAGCTGCTGCATAAGTTGAAGAGTAAGGTTACACAAATTGGGGATAAAAGGGGGTGAATTAGCGATATGGTAAGTAATAATAATAATAATAATAATAATAATAATAATAATAATGTAAATTGTCTTGCTTATAATATGAGCAGGAATAGAATCGTCAATAGAGTTCGTCATTTCATTCAATTGTGTGTGGGCTGTGATACTGCCCGGGTGCCCAAACCGAAGCAGGTGGTTTTCTTAGGGGGCCACACCCGGAGCCTTTGACCTAAAGGTCTGATCCACAAGGCAGTGGAGCATCGTGAGGAGATGCAGTCCCATGGTAGTCGTTGACCAATGACAGGTTCTTCCGCCATTCGTTCCATCAGGAAACTGGAGCCCATGTGCACCATTGGTTTGGAATCAGGGTTTTCCAACTCCCCTAGGTGGACCCTCCGTGTCCACCAATCCGGTTATAGCGCCGGACATTCGCTTTTCGTCCTCTCACTTTCGTAAACAACACCCCTGCCACGAGAAGGCAGTGAGTAGGACTTCCCTGGCAGAGGCTATATATTCGCTGGCCATATGAGAGCATTTCGAGAGGGAGAGTAGACTCTCTCCACTCTCGGCCGTACCAGGGCATTTGGGGGCATTTCATAAAACATCATGTAGTCAGTAAAAATT